AACTGCTAAAATGCAACGCAGAACCCAGAATTCCTTTACAGCTACCTCAGACAAAGTACAAGGAACTGACATCCCATTCCCTGATTGCGTTGAGATTGCTGGTGCAGCGTATCCTGCCCGGGCCGTCAGGACATCATGCCACAAACGCGTGACAAGCGAACGATCAAGGTAATGGCCCCCCTGTTCACACCGTCTTTGTGCTGATTGGCCACCCATCAGCCTATGACAGTCCCCCTTGCCATATACCCGGCCGTTTCCACAAGCCTCCTCATTTGTGCTGTCTATCGTACTCAGTACACGTCCTATTTCCAATTAGCCTTCTGTTTTGCATACATAACATTGGCGACGCAGCCTAACGAACATGTCTTCATTGCTGCCTACACCGCTACCTTTTTGCATACATAACAGCTGGTAGTAGGGATAAAGCTGCGTATTTTTCACGGATCTTCCAATCGGTCTACACAAACGAGGCACGGTTCCTTCCTCCCTCCACAGAAGAACTGCCGACCCCATGCGTCAGTGATATACTCTTCTGAGAAGGCGTTGTCCGAAGAGAATTAGAGGCATTGAACAAATCGTAGTCGCCAGCACCAGACGAGATTCCACCCAAGTTTCTCAAGGAACTTGCCAGTGAGCCTTCTATAATAATGATTATTATTTTTTATTAAAGACCCATTGGGGTCCCATCAAAGCAAGTAAAAATAAATTTACATGCTTATTTTAGACGAGGTAGGCAAAATCTGTACAAAGTGAAATACATGGGTTTTGAATTAGAAGGCCGTTAAGAAAAATGATAAGCGAGGGGTAAAAAAACTCCACATGAAAGTTAGAGAATGAATGGATTATTTTACAGGAGAAAAAAACTCCTCGAAAACAACCGAAACAGAAAAATGCGGTCAGGACTGGCCTGCATGTGGCGGTATAGAATGGATTATAATCGGACATCGTCAGGGGCGAAATAAATGTCAGCTGTATATGGCATTATATAACGGATTTTGTGAAGGGTTAAGTAGGCGGGTCGGTCAGGACTGGCCTGTATGTGGCCTTAAATAAGGCAAATAAGTGGCGAAATTGAAAACCAGTCTCGAGGGCATAGGAACCCAGATGTGGTCGGTTACATTCATCCGAGTCCATCCGAGGATGGAGCAAGGGAGATGCGACCAGACTACTAGTATATGGCGAATACAGAAGGTTTCGCCAAGAGCATCGATGGAGCGCATTCTGTGAGGGCACGATGCATGAACTGAAAAATTGGAAAAATTAACATTTCTGGTGAGGGATCTTAGGAAGCGAGACTACTCACAGAGGAAGGAAATGTGAACAGATACGGAAATTTAGTGACGGCATGCTAAATTCCCGGTGGCCATTTCTCAGTGTCATAGAAAATATTGTCTGGGAGGAATGAGGAAAATTAAAGTTTTATTGAGTCAGTATTCAGATAAAGGCGTAGCCTACTCTTAAAGGTGTGTAGATTTTCTGAAGATCTTATATTTATTGGAAGGTTATTCCACAGGAAAGTATATCTGGAAGCGAAAAAAGAGAGCGCTTAGAGGTGGAGGACGCTGGAGGAGGTATAATCACGGACGAATGGCGAAGATTGTATGGGCGATTACTAGGGGTAAGTGCTGAAATCCGAGGAAAATTTGAACTATGATTAATGCGAAAGAGGAGACAGAAGCCCGCTTCTAGTCTTCGAACCCATAAAAATTTTAGGTTACATCTATCTGAGTAGGAGATATTGGTATGCTCCTTATCTAAACTATGCCTTTGTCGATGCTACTTTAAACGTAATTAGACATTGAAACACTGCTTATCGATTGGAAGCTTACGCATATTACTCCGCTACTCAAAGGAGGTAGAAGGGCGTCGAGGACAAATTACAGGCCCATAAACTCGGCATGCATTCTCTGCAAAGTTATGGAACATACCGTACAGACTGGACTGATGCAATTGCTGGAAGTTATCGGCCTGCCAACATGGGTTCCGGAAAGGAAGATCCTGCACGACAAACTTGCTGCAATCTCTCCACAGTTGTACCCGAGCTCTCGACGACAGGCACGCGGTCCACATAGCCTTCATCGACTTCCAGAAGGCGTTCCACACTGTGTCACAGAGGCTCTTACATAAACTAAAAATAGGGATCATTGGCAACTTCCTTGAATGGATCGAAAACTTCCTTTTGGGTTGACACCAGGTTGTGTGCATCGGACGGGGAAAATCCGATCCTGCTGTAGTCAAGAGTGGTGTCCTACAGGGTTCAGTACTGGGACCCATTTTGTTTCTTATCTACGTGGACGATGCCGCAAGAGCTTTAGACTGTGATTTAGCAATGTTTGCCGATGAAAAGAAGATATGGTGTGTAATTCTGGGTCCTTCCGATGAAGACAGACTGCAGATGAATCTGAATCGGTTGGAGGAGTTGTCAAACCGTTGGCTCCTGCGGTTCAACATTGGCAAATGTAGCATACTTCGCCTAGGCAACACAGCCATATCCGTCAGCACAAGAGACTACTTTCTAGGCAGTGCATCCCTACAGGAGGTCGAAGCCCAAAAGGACCTCGGTGTGCTGATTACGAGTTCTCTAAAGCCATCCGCCCATTGTTCGAGAGTGGCAAAAGGCGCAATGTCCGCGCTGTACGCCAACCAGCGTGCATTTTTGGACTTTGATGAAGATGCTTTCTCAAAGACATTCGGAACATTCGTACGGCCGCATCTGGAATACGGCATACAAGCTCTGAGGCCGTGAACGGTTCAAGTCCAAATCTGCCTCGAAATAGTCCCGAGGAGAGCCACGAATATTGTTATGGGTCAAAGCTCCTTTGCTTATGCAACCCACCTAGTAAATCTGAACCTCTTTCCTTTGAGTTACAGGCAACTTCGCGGGGATCTCTTACATGCCTTCCGCGGAGGTCAAGTTCAAGGCGCGCGGCTCAATTTCAAAGATAAGTGAAGCTTTGCATTTACTTGGATATTCTTAAGCAACTTATGCATGTTTTTTTTACTTGAGTCCATTTTAAAAGTCGCCTTTCAATATAAGGTATAATTATTTCAAGTTTTGTTTGACAGTCTGGCAAAATAGTCGTATTTTGTAAAAAAAACCATTGTAGTGATTCGAGTCTTACTAATTTTCGTAGTAAAATAACAATAGTACTTGCTGTTCAGTGCGTAGTTCTGTACGCTAGCAACGTTTTGCTCTTTTACTGTAACGAAAAACATATCTTGTCTGTAATGTCTCGCAGAGCACGTGTTAAAATACGAAAGCTTGCTGCCTCTCCACTGTCTCCGGGTGCTGGAATCGTTACCGAAGACATAGCAGTTGCCAGCATATGTTCTTCGCCTTCTGCAGATAAGGTTAGCTCACAAATCCCTTTAATACATGTAGAACCTCTCGACCCTTCAGTCGTCCAAAAATACGCCTCTGCTAGTCGTAGCAGGCCATCAGCCGACGAAATACTTGATCAGTTGATATATGGCGACATAAACAGTACTTCTGAAATAGTAATTGAACAAGCTTTTAAATTTATTGCGGTAATAAGTTCTAAAAGGTAGGAGAGAATTAAACGCATGCATAATTACGTACTGCGGAACATTCCGAGCCACGTATCTGCTATGGAGGGAGCGCATTTGTTCCTACAAAGTTGTGGCTTGAGTCATTCCCGTCATTCCCTCCCCCAAATCCTACACCTTTTTATCCACTTCAGAATATTTTGATGCCACAAAATATTTGCAGAACCGGATGGTTACATCCGGACCGTTTGCTCCGTGGGCAGCCAAGCACTGGACGACGAGGCCCACCTCCCTCAGAAACAAACAGCCTTTCTCCTCAAACCTTTTGTTTTAAATGCCAGATCCTTGCTTAATAAGACGCCTTTGCTTCAGACTCTGGTGTACGTCCATTGTCCAGATTTTGTTTTAGTAACTGAGACATGGGCATCAGCCTCCGTAGCTGACTCCAAACTCTCTCTTCTAGGCTATAATTGAATTCGAAATGATCGCCAAGATAGCCGTGGTGGCGGCAGCTGCGTTAACGTTAAGCAAACACTTACATTTCTGCCGCTTGACCTCCCGCATTTTTCCGCAGTAGAAGACAGCTGCTGGCTACAAGTTGTACTAAAAAATAAGTTCGCCTTACTTGTTAGCTGCATCTATCGCCCACCCAACGCCAACGACAATTTCGATCGTTTACTCTCACAGGCATTTCATGCTGCGGCCGACTTAAGCTTTAAGTATCAATTGGTTGCGGGCGACTTTAATATCCCTGAAGTTCACTAGTCTCCGCCTTCAGGCCCCAGAAAGTTCGAAGACTATCTTGAGGCTGTGGATGTTGGAATGTGGACTCAGGTTGTATATTTTCCCACCCGACGATCAAGCATACTTGACCTAATTTTTTGTAGAGGTTACATGCCATCGTCAGTGTCATCTTTTGGCACACTCGGGGTCTCAGACCATGACATAGTTGTTTCAACGTTCGGATTCAAGGCCGACAAAGCGTTGTCCCCAAAGTATAAATTTTTCAGAGTTGCGAAAATTCCCATAGCAGTAATCAGAAGACGAGGTGGCGAGCATACGTAGCTTTCGATAAATTCTCGTCGGGCCAGTACAGTTATATGAGAACGGGGTAGAAGAAAACACGTCAGCGATAAGAAAAATCGATAAAAGTTCTACTTAAAACACGGGCGGGGTGTGGGAATGTGGGGGGGGGGTGGGTAATAGCAGTAATTGTCAGGGGCGGGGTGAGAGCGGAAAGGCGCGAATTGTAGCAGCGTTAGTCGACCTTCGACCACTGTAGGCGCGGAGCCTGAACGTGGTTCTTCTGCGCGCATAAGATTGGCTTTCGTAGCCTAATGGCGGCTGCTTCCGCTGTCGCTAACAGGCGCTGGCCTAGTAGCTTAGGGTAGCTCGATGGGACCTTATAAATTACACGAAATGCTTTGTTGGGGTCCACGCGATGTCCGGAATCGACAACATGCGCGAGAATGGCGCTGTCTATTCTCCTAGTTTCACCTTTTTGCCAGCCATGCGGGAAGGTGTTCGCGTATTCTCTTGGATAAGCGCCTACTCGTGCGACCAATATAACCTGCTCCACAGGAGCAAGTGAAGGAATATATGCACATTGAGGTGGTCTGCGGTGGCAACTTATCCTTCCCTTCTCCACGTAAAATCGGGTTAGTGGAGAATGCTATTTGAACCCTTGCTGCTGGGAAGGTTCGCGAGACAGCTTGATCAAGGCGTCTCCTTAGGAGTTCACTCTCAGCGTCCCCTTGGAAAGGGACCTTGAGGAATAAAGTCTTCTTTTCGGCGGTCGGTGTGGCGGGTTTGATCGGTCGTTCAGCAATATTCTTTTCAATAAACCTTTCAGGATATCCGTTTTCGCGAAGGAAGTCCTGGATTTTTCTGAGCTCCTCCTCGATGCTATCTGTTGAGCAAATTTTTCTAGCCCTTTGTGCCAAACATCGGACTAGATTTCGTTTTTGTTGGAGGGATACGAAACTGGCGAAGTTCGTGTATTGTTCAGACCAGGTTTTCTTCCGATAGACGCTTCTTCGGACACTCCCGTCAGGTCTCCTGCTGAGAAGAACATCTAAGAAAGGGCGCGAACCGGCCGTTTCCATCTCCAGCGTGAATTTGATCGACGGATGTACCTGATTTGCCGCATCTAAGAGGGTTGCCACATCGGTTTCTGCAGTGGCAATGGCAAAGATATCGTCAACATAGCGACCGCAATGTTTAAGCTTATCGATCTGTTCGCTTAGATGGAATCTCTCCAATTTTCCCATGAAGACATCGGCTAGGAGAGGTCCAAGGGGTGAGCCCATAGCAACGCCGTCTACTTGTCTATAGAGTTGGTTGTCGAACAGGAACTGCACATTTAATGTGCATCTTAGTAATAGTTCAGAACGAAGTTTCTGTCCTGCCCATGATTTGTGATATTTCTGAGCGGGCTAATAGATTGTCTGAAGAAAAACAGCTAGCCGAAGAGGTCCAGTTTACCGAAAGCCATTCGTTAAGTGTCTCGAAACTTTTCTCTAGAAATATACGAACTCACAGGAAGACGCAGCATCCCATCCTCACGAGACGCTGCCGGAAATCCCATAGTTGATGCCCAGTTAATCGTTGATAGCTCTAATGATTTCCTGTCCAAAACGTTTATTTAAGACTCGACCACTCCGCTTGCGACCATCCAGGAATTGACCGGGGCAGTTCTTGAAACTATAACTTTCACTCTGAGGGATGCGACTGCTGCGATTCGGTTTTCGACAATCATATAATGCAGGACATGACGGTGTCCCAGTAAGCATTTTAAAAGCCGATGCAAATACAATTTTCCCATCCCTCTTGTGCAAGTTATTTCATTTTGCACTTGAAAGTGAAAATTTTCTGACCATTTGGAAGGAATCACACATTTTACCCATTCCTAAGCACGGCAAATCTACATCATCTGACGACTTTCGGCCAATAAACACCCTCATCGCAATTTCGAACCTGTCAACTTGTCAACATGTCTGCCAGAAGTTTTCTTCATCACAAGTTGCCTCGAGACAAGATGAGACCAAATGTCAGTGGTTGACGTAAGCTCTCGGCTTCTGTAATTAAGCATGGCCTAACTAAACGTAAGTCAGAAGCTTTACCTAAATCTAAGTCAGATGATATTACTAGTCAGTCGTCACCCGTTGTAATTGGTCGGCAGCTTTATCTGTCTGCGCTTGCCCACTGCAATGACTTTATGCTAAATTCTGGCACTTTGCTGACAATTCTTGGACATTTATTCGACGGGAACATCTCCGATATTCCCTCTGAAGAATGTAGGCGTCTCGACTCACTTGTTCACCTGATCGCCAGTGAATCTAGTGATAGACAGAAGCGTTCTTACAACTTTCTGCT